GAATGCTATATAGTTTCATTGTTACACTGTATTAATCCTTTGTCCTAATGAAGTCTAATAGTCTCTGTCTGTAACTGGTTTTTGACAATCTTTGCAGTCAGTAAAATTATTATGTTTTCTGTAGGAAAAATAGTGAATTGTCTATTTTGTTACTTAGTGATTTTTTTTGTATGAAATTCTAAGATAATTTTTAATATTTAATCTAAGGAAAAGCATCACTTCTCTAGGAAGAGTTTCAATTTATTTCTTTACTTGGTATTGGGAATTGAATCCAGGGTAGCTTTGTCACTGAGCTACCTCAGTCCTTTTCTATTTTTTACTTTTGAGAGTGGGTTTTGCTAAGTTGCATACTCTACCCTTGAATTTATAATCTTCCTGCTTCAGTCTCTTTATTCACTGGGATTACAGTCATGTACCACTGAGACCAGCTTATTTCAGTGTTTGTAATGAAATGTGGTTTTATTTTGTCAAATATACTTAGTCTTTCTATAGTACCTTGTCAATGTTCAAATTCTACCAACTTGCTAAATAGAACTTTACTTTTAATTATTCCTCTTATTCTATAAAGCCAGTCACTATATCTACTTGTTTTCATTCTTTTATAAAAGTCCTCTCCTCATAATAGTCATATTTCAAAATCTCCATTTAGATGTCTAATAAGTGCCGCAGTCTGGCTGGGCACAAAATCACGAGCCACTCAAACAGGAACAAACTTTATTTTTGAAACTGCTGCCAATGCCCTGTACGCTCCCAGGAAATATGCCGACCTTGAACAGGAAGTCACTCCTCCGGAATTCCCTCCTACCACACTTCCCCAACCAATGGGAACTCTCCAGGAGTCCCATAGCAGGCCGAGGTGGACAGCAGAGGTCTAATATCCATATGAATGCAGATCTTAACATAATCATGTCATCTCAATGGCTTGCTGGCATCACCGTCACCTTTCAACCAAAAATGCCATGCATCATACTACTTGGCTATGGCTCTTAGCAAATAAGCATTTTTTTTTTTTTTTTTTTTTTGAGTCAAGGTCTCATTATGTTGTTCAGGCTGGCTTTGAACTTGAGATCCTTCTGTCTCTGCCTCCTGAGTAGCTGGGATGATATGTGTATGCCACTGTGCTCATCTCTTAATAGTCATCTTACACTTTAAGTTGTTATCCATTACCTTGTTACTGAACGTTATTAAACAGGAGAAGAAGTCAGAGAGGTGATGGAAGGGACTTTGGGATGCCATTTTWAAAAACTTTAGCTTTTATTATTAAGTGAAATATGTAACTACAGGAGGGGGATTATTACTTGCTTGGCAGGAATTGAAAGAGTATTTCCCCACCCTTAAGAAGTCACAGATTGAGTTCTTCAAATAAGTAGGAAATTTTAAGCAAATTTGAAGTCGAGTGAAGAAAATGCATTGCATTTTCAGTGTCCTGGAAGACTTTCAATTCAGAGGGATAATAAAGTGTATAGTTGAATGTGGTATATGTTGATAGTGGAGAAATTATTGTGTCGGGCTTAAGAARTCATTATAGAAAATGTTAATTCACAGAGAAGTATTAGAATGGAATGAAACATTCATTGTTTCTAAGATAGATTGGAGAAGAGTGATACTTGGATGGTAGGACCAGTTAAGAATGTTTTGGTAATTTAGGTAGAAATAGTATTTGCTTAAGGAGTTTTGCATTAAGGGAACTACATCAAAATTAGTAGGCTTAGTGGCAGGAGGAATGATAACATCTGATTTTTTTTCTATATAAAGTGTTAGATGTTAAGAATGAGGTGCAAAGTGGACAATTTTGAGGAAACTGAAAAGGTCCAAGCAGAACCTAAATTCTTTGTGTCACTTATCCCTCTAGGTGTTACCGGGTAACTAAAAGGATACATGGCATAAAACATTTTTAAAGAGCTCCTGATAGTTTGTTTTTAGGAGTTTTAGTCCTGTATGGGTAGAGAATTCCTTTTCTTAGAGGAGGAGTAGCTTAAGTTTTGATTATTATACACTAGAGAACAAGAAAGTGATAGTGCTAGTATAACATAAGATCCTGGAGAATGCTTATATATACTGGCTTTTCTAACCTGGTGGATAGAAATGTTGTGGTTTTCAGTCTTAGTCTGTAGGAGGTAAGGTTGTATATGATTTATTTTGGCATCTATAAAACCCACATTAGCATTCATACTGAACTTGTGGTAAGCAGCTTTGCAAGGTTTGCTTATAGTATGTTGTGAGTTTTTGTAAAATTGCTGTTATAACCAGACACCTTTTTAAGGATCCTTTGTAAGGAATATGGATTGATTTTTAGTTCAGGTGAATACCCACTCACTCACCCCCACACTTTTTCTTAGCAAGTGTACAGTCATCTTTAAAAAATCTTAGAATGATGTTGAACAATTACTTTAATGGTAAACATGGATTTCTTCCATTAAATGCTTTGTGGTTTTTGTTAGATTTTTATTCTTTTTTGTTTTTTTTCAACAAGTGATTATATTTTGAGCTTACTTTAAGTCACTTTATAAGGAGATACAAACCATCAAATAGAGATTCAATGAAGAGGGAGGGAAAGAGGAAGAATTTTAGATTATATAATGTTTTATGACTGACAGTGACATACATAAAATGCAGATATTTTCTGTCAGCTCTGCAATTCAGAGGCAATATGATGGAAAAAGCACTTAAATATTAAAAAATTAGATATACTGTAAAATATTACTGTTTTGCCTCATGAGTCCCTTTGGCTTCCCTTTCTCCTCCTCCTTCCTTCTCTTTCCTTGTTTCTTCTGTATTTTTTCTCTTGTGGTGGCTAAGAATCCCCCACCCCTTTTTATGTTTTCTCAGCTCTATCTGATCAGTAATCTCTTTTACTTGAATATTTCTCAATAATACATTATTTAAAAATACTAGCTACTGAATCAGAAATAAATTAACCATAATAGGAGTCTTAGGAAGTATCTCATTGTATAGGTGAAAACACTGGGAGCATAAAGTGGAGGAGCTGAATGTTAAATCAGGAGAGTTTGCTTCTAGAGTTCATATGCTTTACCACTAAAGTGGTGCCCTGTAACCACTGATTTAATAGTGAAATTTGATAATTTATCTATTAGTAGATTGGCTAACTTCACTTAGCATTATTTTCTCCAACACCATCCATTTACCAGCAAATGCCATGATTTTATTCTCTTTTATTGCTGAGTAATATTCCATTGTGTATATATGACACATTTTTTTAATCCATCTACTGAGGTGAATCAAGGTTGGTTCCACAATTTAGCTATTGTGAATTGTGCTGCCATAAACACTGATGTGGCTGTGTCCCTATAGTATGCTGTTTTTAAGTCCTTTGGGTATAGACCGAGGAGAGGGATAGCTGGGTCAAATGGTGGTTGCATTCCCAGTTTTCCAAGGATTCTCCRTATTGGTTTCTATATTGGCTGCACCAATTTGCAGTCCCATCAGCAATGTATGAGTGTGCCTTTTCCCCCCACATCCTTGCCAACACTTATTGTTGTTTGTCTTCATAATAGCCACTATTCTGACTGGAGTGAAATGATATCTTAGAGTAGTTTTGATTTGCAGTTCTCTAATTGCTAGAGATGATGAACATTTTTTCATATATTTGTTAATTGATTGTATATCCTCTTCTGAGAAGTGTTGGTTCAGGTCCTTGGCCCATTTATTGATTGGGTTATTTGTTTTTTTGGTGCTTAGCTTTTTGAGTTCTTTTATATACCATACAGATTAGTGCTGTATCTGATGTGTGAGGGGTAAAAATTGAAAGGGAGGGGGCAAGGGGTTAGCAATGATAGTGGAATGTGATAGACATCATTATCCAAAGTACATGTATGAAGACATGAATTGATGTGAACATACTTTATATACAGAGATATGAAAAATTGTGCTCTATATGTGTAATAAGAATTGTAATGCATTCCACTGTCATGTATTTAAAAAATTAAATCAATTAAATATTTAAAAAAAGAAAGAAAATATGTGCACACAATTTTCAGGGGCAGGGAGACAGTTTTTTCATGGACTCATTTGACCTATATGTAAGAACTCTTGTTACTGAGCAAACAAGTAAAATCTTTCTTAAACATATACTTTTAAGCTTTATTTAAAACTTTTTGTTTATTATAATTTTAAAGTTGGTGTTGGAATTTGCTTTAAAATAAGACTTAAGTTAATTCATCTGAGTTAAAATAACAGTTTTTGAATGAATTTCTGACTTCTCTATTCTTTTTTTTTTTACTTTTTAAAATAAACACTCTTTTTTAAAAAATTAACACTCTTTTGACATTCCCATTTTTTATATTCAACAATCACCCTAACTTTAGTTCGATTTAGTCATGTTAACTTTTAAAAATGGTTATACTTTCCCATTTTAACGTTTCAGTCTTATGTTATATTTGGCCAAAACCTGTAAATTTGACATAATCTTGTTTCAATTTGTGTTTCTATAACAAAGTAGTTGAGACTAAAGCACTTTATAAAAAAAAAAAGTCACTTATTTAATACACAGTTCTGGAAGTTCAAGAGACTAGGGAGGGGTCAGGCTACTTCTGCTGGACCAGCCTGAATCTCTTTATGGGGACGGTCATGACCCAATCACCTCTCAGTATGTTTTACCTCTTAAAAGTCCTACAATCTATCAATACTATTTACATTGGGAAACAAACTTTAATCATAGAAATCTTTGGGGGGGGGGTAAAGAGGGAAACACATKAAAATCATAGCATTTGGTTGAGGTCCTTTTGTGGTATGATTTCCTGAATTTCTTAATTAGTATTTTACTAGTTAAATTTGCCTAAAATTGTTATTGTTTTATACAACAAAAAATCCATATAAATAATTCATACTCTTGGATATTTTAGTACTTATATCATGAATTTTATTGTGTGTTTTCTGCCATTTTTTAAAAATTAGGTGGAGGTATAGCATATAGACATTATGAAAAGAGATTTGAAGTTTCTCCTGATTGTAGGTGTCATTCTTTGAAAATATTTTTTCAGAAACTGTTTTGCCTGGGCCTACCTCACCCTTACCCTCTCCAGGGAATGGGAATGAAACTGCATCTGGATCAATTGCTCAGCCAAAGAAAATTCGAGGAATTGGATTTGGAGATATTTTTAAAGAAGGCTCCGTGAAACTTAGGACAAGAATATCCAGTAGTGAAACAGAAGAGAAAAAAACAGAAAAGGTGGTAATGATGTATTTATTTTAGATTAACTTCACTCATTCTCACATTAAGCTTTTTTTTYTTTTAATATAAAGAGCAGTTTGTAACTGTGCTATATTTTCCTTCTTTGAGATTGCTAATAATTTGGTTCTGAATGAGAAGTTCCTGAGAAACTTTTGTTTCCAAATTTGCATGGATTAATATTGTTTGAATCCTATAAAATTAGAATGCTATTTCAATGTTTAATGTTAAGTTAATGTTATTAATTTAACATTAACTTATTCTAAGTGGAAGTTTTAGGTTTTGTAGTTAGGTTTAGTGTAAATCCAAAGGTGAACATTTTTTTCTGTATCATTTTAATTTTATACACACTAAAATGGGCTATTTTAAAATGAATTTAGAATGAGATATTAAATTAATCAGATACAATTTAATTTTTACTTTGGATTGTTAATAATGGTTAAATTTAATGATCTGCCCTCTGAGTTTTATTTTTCATTGGCATCATACTGGCATTTTCAAAAGAAATAAATAAAGTAAGTGAACTATTTTGGGAGAAAAATTGCTGGTCTTTAGAGTATTTTTAAAACATTTTTGTTCCTATTGTCAATATTTTTGAGAGTCAGAGTGAATACTTCAGGTAAGAGGCATTTCCTCTGACTTTTAGGGGCATGTTTTCCCTGTAGTTCTCAATTGGATCTCTTTATCTAACATTTAAGAGTTTAAATATTTTAATATTTATTTGCTAATTTTAACTACATATCATTTATTAAATTGTACTTGGTTAGTGAAAAACAGTTCTGTAATTTTCTCCCAGGGTGATTTGTCTCTACCCTTTTTTTCACTCTGAATTTTTCCATGTAATAGTGAGTTGAGTATAAGAAGACAACCTACCCTCCCTCCCCTCCCTCCTTCCCTTCCTCCGTCCTTCCTTTCTTCCTTTCTATTTTAGAACTTTAACTTTCTACAATGTTATTGTGTGGCATTAATATTATGGAGTCTAATTGGTGAAATTTTCAGTTTTTAAAATCATAATCTATTTTTTTAATTTTCGAAAAATCGTAATCTACAGTCATACAACAGAATATTGGGGAAGCAATTCTTGTGTTATAAGGGACATTACACTAGATGATCTGGGGTCCCTTGCAATTCTACAAGCTTATGATTATATTGAATAACCATTTGATTAATGATTATATTAGTAATCTTTCAGTCACCATTAACAAGTTCCACTACTCAGATGTTCATGAGAATAGACTCTTGAGTTACCACACAATTTGATAAATAGGGAGTACATTTGCTATGTTAGTAAGGGGACACCAGATTGGAAGATATGGTGGTTAGAATTGGGAGAAATTAAAATGAGTGTTTTGGAAGATAAATAGAAAACAAAGAGTGACAGCTAAGTGTGTTCAGATTTTTAACTAATGGAAACCCAAGGTCAAATGTACTGTTATTTCTAGAGAGAATTCTTTGAAGGACTTTACTAGTTACAATGGAAAAATGTCTAAGTGGACTATCTAAGAGTTATAACACTTACAAAATATTTTCAGATAGTAATAAATAAATTATAAAAAGTTTTATTTATTTTTTAAAATCTGCTTTGTTATTTTAAGGTTTAGTACTATTAAGAGTGGACTTTCTGGGGGCTGGGGTTGGGGGTCAGTGGTAGTGTGCTCCCTCACATGTGGGAGGTGCTGGGTTCAATCCTCAGCACCCCATAAAAATAAATAAATAAAATTAAGGTATTAAAAAAACTGTGTATTTTCTGGAGTCAGACTTTATAGATTCCGATCTGGGCTCTACTTCTAAATATCTGTTATTGTGGRGAGATTATTTAACTGCTTCTTAATGTAAAAAAAGGAGGAATAATATTTATATAGATAGAAGAATAAATTATGATATGCATAAATGCCTGTGTTCTCATTTTAGAACTCTGAGAATGTTTATCATCCTCAAGGAGTTTTAAAAATTAGCAGTTATGAGCTACCATTTGAGGAATGTTCAAGATCTCTATCTTTCATTGCTGAATTTTCAGTCTCATTATTAACCTGACTACAAAAACTACAGGGAAAGCTGGGTGATTGTAAATGGAAATTTTGTTCAGCAATAGTATCTTTATTCTAACTTAAGTTAGTTGATATCATCCTTTTCTGTTTTAGCCCTTAACCATACAGTCAATAGGATCCAAAACGAGTGTGGAGATAACAAAACCAGAAACTGAAGGTAAAATTAAAGGTAAGTTTTTTAATAAAACCTTCATAGTAGAAACATACTTAAATATATTGGACTTTTTGAAGGCATATGATGYATGCCACTACTTATCAAAGTATTAATTCCTACTAGATGTAAGCCCCATAAAGTTAAGGATTTGGGCATGCTGTGTTCATTGATGCATCCCCCTGCAATTAGAATTGTGCCTGATATATAGCAGACATTTAGTAATTACTTGAAGAATGATTAGCAAAATTGTTTTTTTAACATACAGTATTGGCTATAGTTTTTAATTTTAAAATTTAAAGATGAACTAGGGCTGGGGATGTGGCTCAAGCGGTAGCGCGCTCGCCTGGCATGCGTGCGACCCGGGTTCGATCCTCAGCACCACATACCAACAAAGATGTTGTATCTGCCGAGAACTGAAAAATAAATATTAAAAATTCTCTCTCTCTCTCCTCTCTCACTCTCTTTAAAAAAAAAAAAAAATTTAAAGATGAACTATAAAGTTTATTGTTAATAGCTTCTTATATATATTTCTTTTCATGAGTAGAGGCATAATAAGTATTTGCTGAATCAATTTGCATCAGCCACTATTTATATTTTTTATTTCAGCTAAAGAATACTGTAGAACATTATTTGCCTATGAAGGTACCAATGAAGACGAACTTTCTTTTAAAGAAGGGGAAATAATCCATTTGATAAGTAAGGTAAGTTGGTTTTCAGTGAGTCATTTAACTTATCCATAGGCATATATTGCTGAATTCTTATATTGCCCCTAGAATGTAAGCTCCAGAAGAGCCTTTGTCTTATTTGTTTCTGAGTCCTCAGAGCCTTACATATAATTAGCACTCAGAATGTTATTTTATTTGAGCCATCTTTTTTGTCTGTTAGATCACATTGCTTTTTTTTTCTTTATTAATTTGAGCTTCCCAGATTTCTATACTTAATTCTTTTCCACTCCCCCCTCCCCACCACCATGTGTTGTTCGGAATTGTTGCAAAGAATGAATTGATTTTATAAGTTGGAAAAAATTCTGCAGAAAATAAAGGGAAAACCTTGTAGTATTTGATGTGGACAGAATCCTATCTTAAGTACTTAGAAAAAATGATAAATATTTCATTTTTATTATAACATTGCAGATAACTTTTGAAATTTCTCCCATTGGTTTAGACTTTGTTATCAGATGACTTTGTATGTAATTTTTAAAATAAATTTTATTTTGTATTTTTAATGTATGTACCCTAGTGAAGCAAATTTTTTAAAAGAATTTTTATTTTTTTATACCTTTATTTTGTTTGTTTATTTTTCTGTGGTGCTGAGGATAGAACCCAGTGTCTCACACGTGCAAGGCAAATGCTCTACTGCTGAGCCACAACCCCAGCCCCAGTGAAGCAAATTTAATATATTCATGATCTCACATAGTTACCCTTGTGATAAAGCAGCTAAAATCTACTCATTTAGCACAAATCCCACAAATGTATGTAATTTAATATCCATATAGTTTGAACTCATGGTACCTAATTTTTCATTCAAGCTTTTAAGATCTTGTTAATGTCTAAAGTTGCCAAACAAGTAATTTTTAGTTTATTAAGTGTTACGGATAATATAAGAAAGATAGTTTTGAAAGTCTTACTTTCCCTTTCTCTCTTTACTTTCTTCTCTTTCTTAATTCCTTTCCTTTTATCTCTTGCCTCTCTCCTAAGATCCTTTTAACTTTATAGATAGAATCTTAAAGTTATTTTCAAAAATTAAACCCAGCTGTAACTCCTGATAAATGTAACATGTGAGGTATACTCTGTTTTAGGAGGACCTTATGATCTGTTTAAGTTGGCTTTTTCTTGTAATGATATTAGAATTTATTATTTTCTTTTTGTTGAAAACCTTTTCCTTATGTAAAGATAACTTATTATTTTAATTATTTTTTGCTATGCTTTTCAGGAGACTGGAGAAGCTGGGTGGTGGAAGGGTGAACTTAATGGTAAAGAAGGAGTATTTCCAGACAATTTTGCTGTTCAGATAAGTGAACTGGATAAGGACTTTCCAGTAAGCTTTTGTTTTTCAATGATGATACTACTTTAACATTTTGCCAATATTTTTTTCAAAACAGGGTTTTTTGCCTTATTATTGAATAACTTTCATGAAACAGTCCTAAAATATGTATTGAATTACAGTAAAATAATATTATAATGTTTCAGTTCTATGCTTTATTCYAACCTCTCCCAGCCCTCACTGACATGTCTACCGAAATGTAATCTTAAGACTTCTTTTTAATTTTTTTATTGTACCAGGGACTGAACCCGTGGGTACTTAACTACTGAGCCACATCCCCAGCTCTGTTTGTTTTTTATACCGAAATGTAATTTTAAGACTTTTTAAAAATTTTTTTTTGTACCAGGGACTGAACCCATGGGTACTTAACTACTGAGCCACATCCCCAGCTCTTTTTGTTTTTTATTTTGAGATAAGGTTTTACTTAGTTTCTTAGAGCCTTGTTAAATTGCTGAGGCTGGCTTTGAACTTCCAATCTTCTTGCCTAAGCCTTTGAGCCACTGGGATCACAGGCATGTTCCACCATGCCCTGCTTAGATTTGTTTACTTTGTATTTTAAAAATTAAAAAAAGCTTGGGTGTATTATTTGGATTAATTAGTACTCTCCTGGAAGAAACTTTTTTAAAAAAATTTGAGCCAGTGTTCTTGGTGTTTTGCCCTGGAACTCAAAATCCTCCTGACTCAGCCTCTCAATTAGCTGAGATTATATACTTGTGCCATAACACCTGGCTGAAGGAAACTATTTACACTGAATGTTTTTGAGAAGCTTAATGTTACTTAAAAGTACAGTAAAGCACAGTTTTTGCCTCCTTACAAGACCTAATGTTTCTCTGTCAATTCTCAGAATAAAGTAAGGCTGAGCCATGCATCAATGACTAAGGTAAAACTAAGTTCATATTTAGAACTGTGTCTCAATTTTTTAAAGGTATTTAGTCGTAAAAATGAACGAATGCTTGTAAAAGAAAAAGAGGCCATTGTCTAACTTTCCCTTTAAGTTCAAAAGAATAAAGARTGAAAGCTAGATCTATTTATAATTGATCTTATTAATTTTTCTCAACAAGATCTCTCTTCCTCTTGTCCTGCTACACTGCCTTACTGCCTTGAACTGAGAAATATAGGTAAAATGGTATTTAGCAATCTTAAAGGTAATGGAGATAAGAGGGAACACTTTGCTTATTARGATTTTGGGGTTTATTGAATACATTGATAGTTTTTGAAATATTTAACTGGATTTTGATCAAGGAGGTTATTTGTTCTAATGGAATAAATGTTTTTCAGTGATGTTTTTTAGGAGTTTAGCGTTTTATCATTTTTGGCAACAATGAGATGAGAGATATTTGTATAATTTAGATTATTAACTATCAGTATTTATTTTAACTATAAATATTTAATAAGTAACTAGCTAACCACTTTTGCCATTATTATTTTAACAGAAACCAAAGAAACCACCACCTCCTGCTAAGGGTCCAGGTATGTAAGAAACATAATGTTTAGTTTTCTGTTTCAAGTTCTAAAATGGTAAGATTGTGCTTAATGTAAACCACTAATTTTATTAGTCAAATCAAGAATAATATATATAAGTTTTTCCAGAACTATATAAAAATTTAATGTTCCCATTCATCATTATTATTTTAAAAAGTAAAAATGGTATAAAATAGGTATATCTGGAAGATAATTTAGCTATTTAGTTATATGAAATACCTAATTAATAAAATTGATGGGATTTAGACCTATTTTAGAGAACTGTGTATTGACTTGGCCAATTATTTATTCTACCTATTTATTTAGGTATTGGGGATTGAACCTAGGGGTTTGTAATCAGTCAGCTCCTTCCTAACCCTTACCTTTTTATTTATTTTTGAATTACAAAATTCTTTGTACAACATATTTTTTAATATAATAATGATTTTGAAAATGAAAAAATGAAGTCATATGTATATAATTATATTCATAAGTATGTGAAATCAAAAGCCATACAATTATAAACATTAATGGGGCAAATCCAAGTAGAAATGAAGACATTCCCATACTTCACCAAGCATTATGTACAACCAATCTTTTAGTCGTTTTCTTTTGCATTTGCTCTGTAACCACATTCCATGTATCTGATTTGATCTCTGAATTTYATTTTATGTTTTATGGCTTTGTCCATGAAATAATATCATGGCTATTGATCTAGGGGGTTGAATGTTTAATTTTAGTACTTATGGAGCATGGAGAAACTTTTTACTCCACAATTCCAAATAGAACCTTCTGCCTTTTTAAGTAAAACCTGTTACTATATGAAAAAAAAATTAATATTTATGTGCTCTTATTTCAAAGATGATGCTAAGAGTAAAGCAAGGTAGATGAAGTTTTTGAATTTTTTAAACAGTTGAATAAATATGATACACTAAAAGTGTCAAGTAAAAGTCTTATTAGAGTTTATTTCCATGAGTTCTATTCCTAGATATCTGATTTAATGCAAGTGTAGTAAAACTTATATTTCCTTGAAAGATATACTGTTTTTATAAACATGCAAGCCCTTCCCTACTCTTTGGTTTTAGCTTTATATTTGCTGATCTAATTCTAGAAAAAGCATAAATTTAAAGTAATTTTTATGGAAGTTTGTGTTGGAGGCTTACTTGAAAGCTGTACAATTCAATGTGGTAGTGACTAGCCACATGGTGCTTTTAAAATTAATTAAATAAGATAAAAAATTTAGTTTTTTATTCACAAAAACAGCATTTCATGTACTCATTAGTCAAATATAAAACAACACAAAGTAGAACATTTTTACCAGCACAGAACATTCTACTGGACTAGGTGTAGCAGAGGTTATGAACTCTGATTTGACAAAGAAGGAAATAAAACTAGAGTTTAGGATAATGTTGGCAGGTTCAGGATTAGAAATTGTGCGAGATGATTCTTTGTTCTTTTTGTTAAATCATGTATGGTGTCATCTATTTTTATTTTAAAACTACTATTTAGTTAAATATCTCTATGCTATAAAATTATTTTTAAATAAGCATTCATTTTGTCCCTCCACTACCACCGTCCACCAGCTCCAAAGCCTGATCTCTTAGCTACAGAGAAGAAGTTTTTTCCTGTGAAGCCCGAAGAAAAAGGTGAGACTGATTTTTCTACTTTCAAAACAAAAACATCTTTTATTCATTTCATTTTATACAAATATTGGTCTCCACAGTGGATCATTTATACTGACTTTTAACATGTGTTCATATTTACTTGGCCATGTTTAGAGTTTTCTGGGAGGCAGAAATTTATCAAGACTCACAGGAAATAAAACTTTCATTCATAAATTAATCCTTTAAAAAAATTAAACCATGTCTTCAGGAGGATATAGTATTTAAACATAGTTTTTTTTTTCCAAATAATATTTAAGACAGCTAAAGATTAAAAACTGACATAGTATTTATAGTATTTTAGTTAAAATTTTAAAAATTCCTTAAAAGGTGTAAAGAAAGTTTCTTCTAAAATATGGAAATAATCCTCCGGATCCACTGGGATTACAGGCACRTGCCACCGGCTCATAGATTTCTAGTGTTTTTTTAAAGTCACTCCCCCCCMACCCTAAACATTATCAAGTGACTAAGTAATAACATTCCTATAACTCTGCTATTAAAGTGGATATATGACAAGAAATAAAGACATATTCATCTTTAGACATAAGTTAAAATTTAAAAGAAAATTATTTTAAAATATGGAATATGCTATAAAAAATTTTTCCTTTTTTTTTTTTTTTAATACCAGGGATTAAACCCAGGGGTGCTTAACCACTGAGCCACATCACCAGCTGTTTTTTTTTTTTTTTTTAGACAGGGTTTTGCTAAGTTACTTAGGACTTCACTGGGTTGCTAAGGCTGTCTTGGAACTTTCGATTCTCTTGCCATGGCCTCCTGAGTTGCTGGGATTACAGGCATGTACCACTGTGCCTAGCTAACCATATATTCTTAAATAATTAGTCTGTATTACATAGGGATTAGAAATGAAGGTTAATTTTTTTTTTTAAGTTTGTCGTGTGTTCTGGAAACCTTGGTATAATAAAGCATACTTTATTGTGAAATTAAAATCAAGATCAACATGTGAGAGGAAATATTATAGCTTTGAGTGCCTGTAAAAGAGAATCAGAAAGATCCCAAATAAGCAATCTAATGGTGTATCTCAAGGCCCTTGAAAAAGAATAGACCAATTTCAAAACCAGTAAAAGGAAGGAAATTAGATCAGCGCCYAAATAAATGAAATTTAGAATGAAAAGTAATACAAAATATCGATCAAACAGAGAGTTGGTTTTTTGAAAAGATCAATAGATTGATAAGCCCTCAGCCAAAAGAAAAAGAAAGAAAACCCAAATTAACAAAATGAAAGATGAAAAAAGAGAAATTTCCACAGACTTTGCAGAAATCCAGCGGATTATTGGGGCTCTTTTGAAAAGTTATACTCCAATAAGTTGGAAAATCTAGAAGAAATGGCTATATTTCTAGACAAATATGACTGGCTAAAACTGAATCAAAAGGACATGGAAAGTTAAAAATCCCATAACTAGCAATGCAATAGAAGTAAGTAATAAAAAACCTTCCAACAAAGAAAAGCCCAGGACTAGAATGATTCTCAGCTGAATTCTACCAAACTTTTAAAGAGGAACTAATGCCAATATTCCTCTATTATTTCCATGAAATAGAAAGGGATGGAACAGTTCCAAATGTGCTCTGTGAAGCCAGTATCACACTTAGGTGTAAAATAGTTAATAAAATATTAGCAAATCATATTAAACAATATGTTAAGAAGATTGTACACCACGACCAAGTTGGTTTTATTTCAGAGATGCAAGAATGGTTTAATATATGTAAATCAATGAATGAAATTTATCACAAAAATAGAATTAAAGACAGAACTCACTTAGTCATCTCAATAGATGCAGAGAAGGCCTTTGACAAAATTCAGCACCCATTCATGATAAAAAATACTGAAGAAACTAGGGATAGGAGGAACCTACTTCAACATCATAAAGGCTATATATGAAAACCCAAAGTCAACCTCATGGTAAGTGGGGAAAAACTGAAAGCATTTTCTTTAAAATCTGCTACTAGGATGTTCATGTTCACCACTCCTATTTAATAATAGTACGAGAAATTGTAGCCAGAGCAATTAGGCAAGAGAAAGAAGTAAAAGGGATAAAAATAGGAAAGGAAGAGGTCAAATTATCACTGTTTGTAAATAATATGATCATATACCTAAAGAATTCCACCAAAATACTAATAGAGCTAATAAATTTGGCAAAGTAGCAGGTACAAAATCAATATACAAAAATTAATAGCTTTCCTATATACCAACAATATATCCTGTTGAGAAAAAATCAGGAAAACGATTTCATTCACAATAGCTTAAAAAAAAACAAAAACAAAAACAAGGTACTTAGGAATTAATCTAACCAATGAGGTGAAAGACCTTTATAATGAAAACTATAAAACATTGAAGAAAGAAATTGAAGAAAAATTGAGAAGATGGAAACACCTTTCATGTTCCTGGATAAGCAGAATTAATATTGTTAAAATGACCATATTACCAAAAGCAATACATGGATTCAATGCAATCCCCATCAAAATACCAATGATATTCTTCACAGAACTAGAAAAAGTTGTCCTAAAATTCATTTGGAAGAATAAAAGATCCAAAATAGCCAAAGAAATAAACCAAAAAAGCAATGCTCGAGGCGTTACAGTGTGTGACTTTGAATTATAAACACAGAGCTATTCTACCAAAAACTCCGTGGTACTGGCATAAAAGCAAACACATACACCAGTAGTAGAGAATAGAAGACACAGAGACAAACCCACATATCAATAGTCATCTCATCTTCAACAAAGGTGCCAAAACATAAACGTATATTGTCAAAAAGGGCAGCCTTTTTAACAAATGGTTCTAGAAAAGCTGATTATCCTTCTGTAAAAGGATTAAGCTAGACCCTTAATTCTCACTCTGCATAAAAAGCAACTCAAATGGATCTAATATCCATGAATTAGAAAAGAAACTAGGAGAAAATATAGGGTCAACATTTCAGCATATAGGCATTGGCAATGACTTTCTCAGTAGGACCTCTAAAACTTAGTAAATAATGCAAAGTGTTAATAAATGGAAACACTTTTATATTGTTGTTGTTGAATAAAAGCTCCATGTGTATATATCACATTTTCTTTATTCGTTTATTCATTAATGGACACCTAGCCTGGTTCCATAGTTTGGCTAATGTGAACTGTGCTGCACATGGGTATGCATGTATCACTATAGCAAGATGACTTTAATTTTTTAGGAATGGTATAGCTGGGTCATATGGTAATTCCATGCCTAGCCTTTTGAGAAACCTTCAATATAAAAGTGTTTCCATTCACTATTCTAGGCATGGAAACTCTGTGCCTCTTTTCACATACCTTGCCCTGTAACATTATCTCATCTATCTAGCTGTTTCTGAATTGTACCCTTTATAATAAATTGGTAAATATGAAATAAAGTGCCTTCCAGAGTTAGGTGAGCCATTCTAGCAAATATCAAACTTGAGGAGGAGGTCATAGGAACCTCTAATTTATATCCATTTAGTTGGGAGCACAAAAGGGTTGGACTTGCAGTTGCCATCTGAAATGGAGGTAGTGCTAGAGGACTGAGTCCTTRGTTTGTGGGATCTGTTCCAGGTGGGATTTTAGGATGCTAGCTGGTATTGGTTGGTTTGGGAATAAATTCTACATATTTGATGTCAGAGCATTATTAACAGAAATAGTTTGTACTTTATACAATCTGACACCTAAAGCACATTCAACAAATAAAAATTAACTTGGACTTTATCAAAATTAAAAGTTTTGTGCATCAAAGGCCATTATTAAAATTGGAAAGACAACCTCTAGAATGAAAAAGTATTTGCAAATCATATCTGACAAAGATTTATATGTGGAATATATAAAGAAATATTACAATTCAACAACAGAAAAACATTGAAAGTGAGAAAAACACTGAAATAATTATTTTCCTAAAGGAGATATAAAAACAGCCGAAAAGCACATGGCCAAGATATTTATCATCTTCAGGGAAATGTAAATCAAAACCACAATGAGGACTGGGGATGTGGTTCAACTGGTAGCGCGCTCGCCTGGAGTGCGTGCAGCCCGGGTTCTATCCTCAGCACCACATACCAACAAAGATGTTGTGTCCGCCGAGAACTAAAAAATAAATATTAAAAATAAAATTAAAAGAAAACCCCACAATGAACGAGCTGCCACTTTATGCCCACTAGGATGACTATAATTAAAAAAAAAAAAAAAGGAAAATAATGTGTTGGCAAGGACATGGAGTAATGAGTATACATTGCTGATGCTAATATAAAATGTTTTTGTGGTTGTGAGCAAAGTTTGATAATTCTTCAAAAAGTTAAGTGTAGGATTACTATATGACCCGACAAAAGAATTGAAAATAGGTATACTTATACTTGTACCTGAATGTTAATAGAAACAATCAAAATGTCCTTCAAGGTATATCAGATTGTGTTATATACATATAATGGACTATTATTCATTCACAAAAAGGAATGAAATACTGATAAATGCTTCAATAAGGATGAACCTCGAAAATATTATGTTAAATTTGAACAAAAGGTTATATGTTGTATGATTTMATAAGTCAGAAATAATTCAGAATTGGTAAATTCATAGAGTTTGAAGGCAAATAACTGATTGTTAGGAATTAAATGGAGGGGTGAATGGTGAGTAATAGATTAACAGAAACTGTTCTTTTGGAGTAATAGAAGTGTTTTAAAACTCTGTAAAGTTGCATATCATTGTAAATATATGAAATGGTACTGAATTGTTCATTTTAAAATTATTGATTTTTTTGTTATGTTAATGTCCTCAACAACAGCAAAAATAACATAAGTACTCAAGTACATTGCCATTGTATTATTAGTAATATAGTCTTGGACATACCAGGAATAATTAATCTTTTTCTTTGTTTTGATATCTATGAATATTAAGTGTGGTTGTTTTTTTGGGGGGGCGTTGTTTTGGAATTATACACAAAACTATTTTCAAGTTATTTGTAAATCTGTTAAAATTAGTGAACTCTGTTTAGCCTTTGACATTTTTTCTTTGATATTTTTTCTTTATCCCTTCACCCTTTCCTCTCTCCCCCACCATTAGGATCCTGTGCTTGCCAGAAAACCCTCCCTCATTGAGCTATACCTCATCCCTTTCCTGGTTATTTTTTATAAAATGTTTTTCTTATATTTTCTAAAATATCAAGGAAAGCTCTATTTGATTAGGGTCAGAATTAGGTATAATTTTTTATGCATTGTTATGTCTTGAGGTCATATAAAAATAGATATTTGTACTAAATGATAATCAGTTTCAATGGACTCATATTTTTCGCAAGAGCTAAGGGAGTTATTAAGTAAATGGTAAGACTGAGGCAATAGTATTTTGTATTTTTTTGTTGTGAGGTGAAACTTATAATTTTAAAGGAGGAGTTTTTACCATGCCCTGTGGTGTTTCTTCAGGTTTCATGATCACCAATTTCTAACTGATAGGAAATTTCATAAAATTGTTTGTGGTCCTCTGATAGTCTTTTCAAAGACCAAATAAACTTCAGAGAAGAGGTAGAATCATTCAGTTTTGCACTAAATAGTTTCTTATTTTTGGAAATGTACCTTATGATACGTTCTAACTGTTGTATCATGAATCTGAATTATATGTGAACATATGTGAGTTTTTAATACTTATTCTTAGTACCTAAAAAAGTATATGTAGCACCAAAGAGTGTTCAATGCCTTTTTGGTGATAAAATTTTTATTAACAAGGCATGAAATTATTCTTAATATTCTTTATTCAGGATATTCTTATTTGTCAGATGGAATTATTACATGAAACAGGGCTAATAAAATTCCTAGTACAAGCCTGTATTCCTTCATGTGGCTAATTGGCCTAGTGTCACTTTTTCTTAGCATTTGATCTTTTTTTTTTCTTTGCCATCATTATGATTTTTAAATCAGAATTTTATATGTGCTACGGTTCTTTTTTATTTTTAGTTCCTTATACTTCCATTTCAGAAAATAATCCGGCTCAAGTCTAGATAATTTTCTGCTTGTAGTTAAATTATATGTGGTATATTTGAGAAAGAATATCACCCCCTAAAAGCAGAGGATTCTGGGAACATAATTAAAAGCAGGCATTATTTGTTAATCAGAAGGTTATTAATGATTTCTGTCCCAACTAAAGGAAACTTTTTTAGTTACATGATGCTTAATAAAGTGTAACTTTAAAACAAATGAAATAATGCACTTACATATGGTTATAGACAATGAGTTCATGCCTATGGCTGCCTTACAGTAGTTGCAATAAATAGAGAAACCTAAATAGTTTTGATTGTTAATAAYTTGTTAAATATTTTTAAATCTTCAGATGAAAAAACACTGGAACAGAAACCTTCTAAACCAGCTGCTCCACAGGTCCCACCCAAGAAGCCTACTCCACCCACCAAAGCCAATAATTTATTAAGATCTCCTGGAACAGTTTACCCAAAGCGACCTGAAAAACCAGTTCCCCCACCACCTCCTATAGCCAAGTAAGTTTTACCTAATTTTAAATTACTTATTGATTTACCTGCCTTTGACCTAACTGAACTCTATTGCCTTTCTAAATCTCAAAGTAATTTTTAAAGTATTGTTTATATTTCCTCAAAAGACTATAATAGTGTTCTTAATTGTTATACTCACAGTAGGTGAATACACTCAAACTATATTTACATTTCTTATTTTATTGTGAACATTACTGTAGTAGAGGTTTACTTTTATGGAAATAGTGTTATAGAATAGAAAGCAATCTGTCTTATGTTTATACAGTCTTTAATGTCACCAAATCCTTTTTTTTTTTTGTTACTGGAGATTGAACACAGGGGTGCTTAACCACTGAGCCACATCCTCAACTTGTTTTTGTATTTTATTTAGAGACAGAGTCTTGCTGAGTTGCTTAAGGCCTCACTAAGTTGCTAAGGCTGGCTTTGAATTCACAGTCCTTCTGCCTCAGCCTTACAAGTCACTGGGATTATAGGTGCCCAGCACCAAATCACAGTTTTTTTTTAAAAGTTGTTTTTCAGTTCAAGTGATTTTGTATGTTCGTTTTTCTCATTTCAGGATCAATGGAGAAGTTTCTACTGTTTCATCAAAATTTGAAACTGAGCCAATATCCAAACCAAAGCCTGAATCTGAACAGTTGCCACCTAGACCAAAATCAGTGGACCTTGATTCATTTATAGCAAGAAGTTCTAAAGAAACAGGTAAGTCATCATGGAAGTAGGTAGTACATTAAAAGAAGTAATCAAAGGAATCTCAGTTTTTAGGAACTAAGCAGTGTATATGCAATTTTTGTGTAGATAGTTATAGTGGATATTCATTGAAATTTTCTTAAATGTATTAACCAAAGTATAAAAATAAAGAAGATAAATGGGCAAATCTTAATGGTTCTTATTGATCAGGAGTTTCCTACTGATGATAATACAGAATTAATAAGTTTTCATAGTGTTCAAAAGACTGAAATCCATGTTAAAAGCTCATTCATCTTTTATTTCTTTCCTTTATAATAGAATGACCATATTACCTAAATCAGGCACCTATAAATGCAGTTTAGTTTTAATAGTTAAAAAATAAGATGACACAGGCTCTCAGTGCCGAACTAGCTTATATTTAATAAGACTTTTTAGATATTTCCTCTTAATCTGGAGATACTTTTTTTTCCAATATAGGAAGTCATGTCACTTTTTTTGCTAAATATTATTTTGTAAGCTTTAGGACTGACTAAGAAACATGTTCCTTGTTTTTTATACTGTATTAATTGAAAAATTAAAAACTTGAAACAGGCGTCTTGATAAAGGTGTCTCTATTAAAAACTTTATATAATCATAATCATTTGTGGTAATGGCTATTATTTTGTATAGTGCTTGCAAAATTAGTTTTTAGTTTTTTATATTTTTCAAAACACTTTTTTCATGTTTTTATTTTATCTTTACAACATAAACTCTAGGAAACAGATGCTGTTTTTCTCCGTTTAACATTTAAACAGTAAGCTATAGACATATCAACTAGGTACAATTACATAAATCAAAAGAGAACTCTTTAAATTCCTTTTCTATAAAGTGCTCTGTAATATTCTTTTTACAAAATCTTAATGTCTTTGTTTTTGCTCCCATGTTAACATTTTATGAACTTCAAGTTCAGTTACGTTTAGATTTTTTTCCCACTATATTATATTTACATTTCAAACKTTTTTCCAGGTGATCTTATTTTTCTTCTGTCTTTTCAGTTTGCCAATGCAAAGCCTCTGTCTTAAGTGTTACCTCCTTTCAGTCTTTTGAATACTTTATAATCCATTTATTTGGATATTAACTGCCCTTTATGATGCTGTATTCATTACTCATTTCTGGTAATTGAGGTGTTGATTATAGGTTTGAGAAAGTCTTGAAATATACTTAGTATTTCTTATCTGGTAAAAATTAACTTATTTACTATTTTAATAAAAATGAAAAAAGTATTTTTTAAAAATCTTTATCTTTTTATTATGGAGCTTAGTAGTTAAAAATGGATTCTTGTCAGCTCATATTTTTCCATTTGATTTAAAATATAGCCAGAAAAGTGTTTTCTAAAAATAATCCTTAAAGAAAAAAAAGGTTGTTTACACAATTTTAACTTTCAAAATAAGTTAAAAAAAACTATTAGTATTATCTTTGAATTTTCATAATTTTCTACATTCTTGATCAGAAAATACTTAAATTTTGGTGGAGTCTTTTGGGGATTAAAGTAATGACATTTAGAATCTGTATTTTTTTTTTTGTTATTTGTATCAATTTTTGCTATATTTAGTTAATTTCAAAGTAGTGAGAAAATCTCTTAAAATTTAGATAAAACTAATTTTCACATTTTTCCAAGACTTTTTGTAAATATATTCAACAACAAACGTACTTTGTTTTTTGCATTTCTGTTGGAAATAATATATATAAAATTATTTCAAACTGTTGGTGATTGGAAAGTTTTAGTTTTTAACTTTGTTTTTGTTCCATTTTTTGCCTCATTGACATAGTGATTATTTATTCTTTAAAGAAAGAGGCTTTGTGGAATAGAGTTTGAATATTTCTAATTTCTGTTTTTAAATTTTTTTTAATAAATAAGGAAATAATGTAAAGATGCTAAGACTTACACAAATCAGAAAATTAGCAGCTAATTTCCAAGCAACTGTCTTCTATTTTTCTCACAAAACTAATTTTGGCATAAAACACTGTTATCCTGCAAAGTTTAGAAATTATAAATTTGGGGAATTTGAGTTTATATTAAGTAGCAAATGTTTACTAAGCAATTGCTTTATTCCCAGAAAATATTTTTAGATACTGGTAGTATGCTAAGATAAAAGAGTTGCTGGTTGGTCATGGTGCTGAAGGCCTTATAATACCAGTGGCTTTGGAATCTGAGGCGGGCTATCACTGAGTTCAGAGTTGGCCTCAACAATTTAGCAAGGCCCTAAGCAACTCAACTCAGTGAAATCTTGTCTCTAAATAAATATATACATAAAAGGGCTGTGATGTGGCTCAGTGGTTATGGGCCTCTGGGTTTGATATCTCATACAAAAAAAAAAAAAAAGACATAGTTGTAGGTAGCAAACAGCTTATGTCCTAAACATTAATTCTTTCCTTGTATACTATTTTCCCCCATTAGAATGTCATATGTTCCTAGTATAGGTTAAGTATCCCTTATCCAGAATGTTTGGAACAAGAAATGCCTTAAGAGTTTATTTATTTATTTTGACATGGCAGGGGGATGGCGGACGAGTGGGATATTTACATATACATAATCCCTTATCCAAAATGTCTGGAACTAGAAATATTTTGAATTTCATTTTGGAGGGGTGTATTTAGAATATTTACATGTATATAATGAGATAGATATCTTGGGGATGGGAACCAAAGCAAATTATAAGATTCTTTTATGTTTCAAATATTTGGTATACATGTAGCTTTGAAGTAATTTTGTACAGTATTATCAATAAATCCATGTTTTGGCTGTGACCCATTACATGAAGTCTCCTGCAGAAATTTCTGCTTGTAAGTGGCATCATGTTGATGCTCATTAAAAAGTTGATTTTTTTTTTTAGCATATTTGATTTTGGGGTTTTGGATTAGGAATATTATATCTGTGCTTGAAATATAAAAGTATTGTTCTAACTCTTTGAGTTATTAACACTTCTTAAAAATTGTTTTAGTTCAAGTACAGCTTTAAATTTGGCATTAGGTTTATGTAAATTTCATATTTTCTACTTAGTTTGAAGATATACCTTTTAAGAATAATGCATAAAACTAMTTCATAAGTTACAGAAAATGTAAAACATGAAACCAGCTTATTGACATTTTCAGTTAAAGTAATAATTTGAGGTAAAAGATATAGTAGAAATGATATAGTATAAAGTATACTGACTTTGCTATTTTAAAAAAGTGGGTTTTATTATTGATAAGTTTCTCCTCAAAATCTGTTTTCTTACTTAGCTAACATTTTATGATTCAGTATATCTACTAATACACATTGGAACACCTGGTATGGAAATCTGTTTCATCTTTAATTTATAAAAGGCAKATGGCCCTCATTTTATTATCACATAAAATTGTCCTGTTTATATAAAACTACATATAAACATTTATGTCTTTATGTATAATACTAATTATATATAGATATACACACAGATTCTGACTTTTGTACATGTAAGAAAGTCACTCCTAGAATAATATTTTCTTTTCTCCTTTTTAATGGCATGCTATAACTGAGTTCCCCCTTGTATGTTCTCATATATTATATAGCACTACAAATTACAGGGCTACTAGGAACTATATTTTAGTGGGGATTTTTTTTTCATTTTTTTCAAACACTATATTAAAAATTAGTTTAAGGAAAATCTTACTGACACTGCTAGTCATTTATAAAGTTCACAATGTCCACATATTTTTAAAATAATGAATTTTTCTAAAATACTTCTACAATAATAAATTTTCTGAGAAGTAAATTATTTTAAAATACTAGACTTTAGTACTAACATAGCTATTACAGCTGATGAGTTACCCTTACAGTGTAGTATTTTATCTTTTTTGATTTTTTTTGATAAGTTCTTCCAGGATTAAAATGAAATGTTATAGAAGGGAGACCAGTGTAGTAGAGGAAGGCAATCAGGGGAAGGTAGGAGGAGAGGGAAGAGCAGGTACTGGAGAAGGAAATTGATCAAATTTTATTATGTGGATATATGAATATGTCACAATGAACCCCATGATTATGTATAATTCACTAATAAAAATACATTTTAAAAAATGAAATTTTAGAAAACRTAAGTTCTTCATTCCCAAAGCAGTCATTATGGAATAAGGAAGCATTCTCTCCTTTCCATTTTATTTTATACTTGATCTCTTTTTGTGTGAATTACTTTCCAAATATTAACTGATTTCTTGCTTTCAGAAAGAATTTATGGTGGGATTTTTATAATAAGGTTCTTATTGAGTAGAGGATGCTATCAAAAGTGAGTCTCTTATCTAAACAAGGATTAAAAATATTAGTTTCTAATAATAGTTTCCTCGATTATATTATAGAAAGTATCACTGGTTAAGGCCTTGGTAAATTTTTATTTATGTATGAAGATATTTTAAAGGTTGTATTGAATTTTTATAGTGAGATATCTTTAAGATAATATTTGTCATTTTTATTTTATAATATCATAGGATTAAAGTTGCCTCCTTTATTGTAATTTCTGTATACACCAAAGACTAGAATTGACTGACTGAAAGGTGGTTTAATTTTAGTTACAATTATTTTATGAGATGTTAATATTGATTTATAAAACTGGCCTCTTAAAATATTGTGCCATCCTTTTAAAAACTATATTTTTTAGTGAGTAATAAAACAAGGCATCTTTCTAGTTTAATGTGTATTGATATTAATACTAATCTTAACTTTTTCTTTTGAATGACCCAGAAATCTAAAAATCTAATACATATCTTGTGTAAGTTTACATAACCTGCAGTAGCTATATGCTAAACATTGAAATGCTTCTATTCATTCTACAACTGTTCCTTTTTCCTGCTTTGTGAAATAATTTTTTTGGTTTAGTCTTTTTTCTAGACATTCCTATCCTTGACTTTTCTTTCCAGATTTTGTTTCCTAGCCTGTTTGCCATGTTTCCCTTCTTACGTGTCAGGAAATTATCCTACCCTTCTCCATTTTGGTAAGATAACAACTTATAAAAGAAATCAAAATACTACATTCAGTATAAATAGGTGGTGCACATTGATTTTTTTTCTTTATAATTTTACTGAAAGTGTACATGTCTGTCTGTCTATTTATTCTAACCCTTTTGGTTTTCCATTTTAAAATAAAATGAAGTTCATTTTGRAAAATTTTTCTTGATTACAGCCTAAAATATTCCTGTAACAAAAGATTTTTTAAAAATTTCAAACCTTGGCAACCATAAAAATCAGGTTATTTGCTCCTAAAATTAGAGATTTCACTTGGCTTTTTAAAAACGTTCCATATCTTCCTACCAACATTCAAAAGCATAAGTAGTTGTCAGAGTGACGAGGTGTAATTACAAGAGTTAAGTTATGGTCATGCCTTTTGTGCCATTTGTGTAGTGTAAATCCATTGTTATCACTTTTAAGTAAACTTAAAATCATTTAGATATATTAYGAGTCAAAATGTGCACTGTTCTGTATTACTAACATAATGGCATAAATGGAGAACCTGAGAGAGTTTTAGAATGGTGAAATTGTCTTGGTGTTGTAGCCCCCAAACTGGACATTTGGAAGGCCTATTATATAAGCATGGTGTATTTTGTAAATCTACGTTTATTTACCCTTCGTTTTCATTTCTTTTAATTTCTTCCATGTTTTTCTGTTTTCTTTCTACAAGTTGCTTAAATATGCATTTGAAAATAATCTTTATAGGCCAAAATGATTGATTTTTATTTTTCAAAGTGTTTTGTGGGCTATCAGTGTACATTTGTCAGTGTAAAAAGAAATTTTTAACCAACCGTATCCTATTCTTAACATACTTTTTAAAAAATACTGATTTTTTTTTCAAGATATTTACAAATATATAGACAGCATCCACCTGTAATCCCAGCTACTYGGGTGGCTGAGGCATAAGGATTTCAACTTTGAGGACAGTCTACCAATTTAGTGAAATCTTGTCTCAAAATAAAAATGGCTAGGTTGTAGTGCCGTGGTAGGGTACCCTTAGGTTCAATCCCCAGTACCATCAAAGCAAAACAAAACAATTATTTACAGATAGAATGACCTTTATATAAGTATATATTTAAATTCCACCTTTTTTAGATCATATAATGCATTTTCCACTGCAGTCTTTATTTCTTGCTATGACTTGTTATATAGTTACAGTCACCAAGAGACTAAAAAWTTAACCTTAATATATTGCAGTGTCTGTTGTGATACATTATCTTAGTGACTTGATCAAAGAGAGAACACACAATGTAATCTATAGAAAAACATTAGCAGTAGTCAACCATTGTTTCCAATTTTAAAACACATATTGCCAAACAGTGATGCCTCTTTTTTTGCCTTACATTTGTGTCACTTATTCCTTAAAACAAAATTTTAAAAATTATTTTTATATGAAATTTGATGAATTAAACATTGAGGGTGATGATGAATATTTTAAGCAATAACAAATCACTGTTGCAACATCGTAGTATCTAACAAAGTATTATAACCATCCAGGCAAATGCTAAAAGGGAGAAAAAAAATCCAGGCCTGGAAAATTAGGATATCTGCTGCCATTTGGCTGTGGTTAATATCCCTGGCTTGGAATCTGGGTTAAACCAGTAACAAGTAACAATGGAAGTATCAGGAATTACTGRTAGGGTTCTTTTATTATATATAGATAACCTGGGCTTCAGAGTTACAACTACTTCTTTAGCATGATTTTATGGATTATCTAGGAAAAGGCAAGGTAATGCATACCATTCTTTCAGAGGTATGACTTACCTAGATTCTTCTTTAAACCCAAATTTTTGGGTCAAAGATCATTCAGCCTTTKATGGTAGAGAAGCAGATTGATCTTTATAGCATTTTCCCTTGGTATTTGATTTGCCTTAGATTTATAACTATCTTATGATTTCTACAAATGGTAATGTCTAAGCATAGATGCTAAAACAGTTTTAGTTCTAACTGTAACATCCCATATGAAGACATGTTAAATCATACTTTTGGCCTRTAATCTCAGCAGCTTGGGAGGCTGAGGCAGGAGGATTGCAAGTTCAAAGCCAGCCTCAGGAACTTAGTGAGACCCTGTCTCAAAAAAATAGATAGTGCTGGAGATGTTGCTCAGTGGTTAAGCATGCTTGGGTTCAGTCCCTGGTACCAAAAATAAATAAATCAGTAAAAATCATACTTTCGCTTTACACTGAGAAATGCAAATRGAGAACAGCAAGGTGCCAGATACAGTTGAATCCTTAAAATTTGAATATCAGTCCACTACGTTAAGTTTAAAACAAATTTTATGATGTTGTAATTAATTAGAAGTTTTAAGTAGATCATTTTTTTTTTTAATAAGCAAGAACTTCAGATGATAGTTTCTGTGTTACTACAGTTTATGGTACAGATTTATCTTTCAATAAAAACTTTTTGTTGAAGTCTAAATATCTATTGAAAACATAACCCTTATTGTTTATAAAGTCTTGTACTATAAAATGTATCAAGTAAAAAGAATGTGTGATTCTATCTTAAGGGTGTTGTTTTCCAAATGCATATGAAAAGCACAGGTCAACTTGTTAGTCCTTCAAAGTAGTGGTACTCTTTTTGTTCAAAAGCCAGAAACATTACTTTTTACCCCTTAAAAGGTACAATTATATCTCAGTAGACAATATTTATTTTTATTCTCTAGATGTTGTAAATTTTGATGACATAGCTTCCTCAGAAAACTTGTTACATCTCACTGCAAATAGACCGAAGATGCCTGGAAGAAGACTGCCTGGTCGCTTCAATGGTGGACATTCTGTGAGTTACACTTACTATAGGAAAACTCAGAAGATTTAGCAAATACAAAGTCCATTTGAAGATGAGAAAATTAGAGGTTTTATAGCTACATCTAATAAATCAGGAGAGGTACCTCTTACAGTCAAATGGCAAATGCTGATGTATAAGAAAATAACAAGGAAAGAGATATGTTCTTCAGTATGGTCTGGAATAGATTATTTGTTATGAGACCATAGCCACACAGCCCAGGGTCAAATGAGGACAGGGAACCTGTTCTATCTACTAATCTAACAATAGTGATCAAGATTGAAAAGTGGAAGATAACTCATTTTAGGGTAAAATGAGAAACTTTTTTCTTCGGAAATATTAAGGATTTTTTTGTAGTACATTTCCCATTATCTAAGTAACTTGTTATTATGCTTTCTGTTTTTTGCCTGGAATACAGGTTGTACTTTAATGATAGTATATTAACTTGTATTTACTATGATGTTTTTATCCTACTTAAGTGGAAAAATTTTTTTTTGCTGTGAGATGAGTTATTCTTGCCCTCAAGATATGCAAATGTATTATTCAGCTTGAAGTTACATAATATCTTTTTAAGAGTAATGGAATAACAAGAATAGTAGCAAGTGAAGTAGTATAAGTAATTTTCTTTATTATCCAAATGCCTACTACAGTTTCCTTCTTTGATTTGTTCTGTTTCTTGATTTCTAAAAAAATCATCTAGCCAACTCAAAGCCCAGAAAAAACTTTGAAGTTATCAAAAGAAGAAGATAGTGCCAATCTAAAGCCATCTGAATTTAAAAARGATACATGCTACGTTCCAAAGGTGAGTCACATCGTGCTATAACATTTGTATGGTTTTCAGGATTCTTTGTGAACATCAGAATTATAGAATTTAGTATATTTTCTAAAAATTATTTCTTCTGCCAAGAAATAAAATAATTTTTTTGAGGAATTGAGTTGTTAATCTTTTTTTATTATTATTCTTTTTTTTATTGGTTATTCAAAACATTACAAAGATTGCAGAATCACATCRGTTACACATCCACATTTTTACATAATGCCATAATAGTAACTGTTGTATTCTGCTACCTTTCCTATCCTCTACTATCCCCCCTCCTCTCCCCTCCCATCTTCTCTCTCTACCCATCTACTGTAATTCATTTCTCTCCTTATTTTTTTTCCCATTCCCCTCACAACCTCTTATATGTAATTTTGTATAACAATGAGGGTCTCCTTCCATTTCCATGCAATTTYCCTTTTCTCTCCCTTGAGTTGTTAATCTTAAGTCAGATATTTTTAGAAGAGCTTATATTGTTTTTAAAATTAATAATGTTACTTATTTCATATTTTTAAGGCATAGATTTATATATCTGTTTCATTTTCTTATTAAACATATACTCTGAAATTGTCTAGTCCACATACTTTTAAAAGAGCGATAACATTTAATTAGATCAGAAACCATTATTTCTTTACTCTTTACCTAGCTTGGTTGTTGGCACCATAATTAAACACTCAGTATATACTGGAATGAATGGCAAAATACATGGATCCTTCTATCTGTTACACGGTCTTAGGTATCTTTTCTAAACTTGTGCTATTTTTATTTAAAATATTTTTACCACAACTGACACATATACTTAAAAAGGTCACATCTCCTCCTAAGTTTTTCCTTAGTTTTATTACAGGGCATTTGGATACATTTGCAATTTATTAAATACAAATAAATCTCATTCTCTAAGCAGTTGACAATCCATTGAAATTTTACTAAAATGGCTTTGTTGTTTTATTTTGCTACAAAAACGATTCCAGTATGTGGATTCATCTTAATGCTGCTTCCATGATCATTCTAAATTTTTTCATAATTACTTTTAAGTCAGCCTTTTTAGATAGTCTAAATGATATGTGTTTAATATGGAAGATCAAGTAACACCTTATTAATACTTATATATTCTTGCTTTTAGATTCTCCAGTAGGCACAGCATCCATAAGATAAATTTGATGGATTTTTTTTTTTTGTTTCTCCTTTTTAAAAACAAAGCCATTGCCATTTATTTCTTCCACAAAATCCACTAGTTGTTGCAAATTAATTCTTTAATTGTCTGTTGTTTTTYTCCAGTCAGGAACATCAAACTGTTTCTTGAATTTTCAAATTTAYCATTATCTTGGAGTACAGGTTACCAAAATGCTAGGGACCAGAAGTGTTTCAGATTTCCAGTTCTTTTGTATTTTGTAATATTTGCAAATATACAATGAGATATCTTGAGAATGGGACCCAAGATGAAGTACAAAATTTATTTGTTTTATGTACTTCTTATACACAAAGCCTGAAGGTAATTTTATACAGTGTTTTTAGTATGCCTACATTTTGACTTAACCCATTATATAAAATCAGGTATAGAATTATTCACTTGTGGAAAGTTGCTACTCAAAGATTTGAACTTTTGAGTATCTTGAATTTCCAGTTTTCAGGTCGGGATGTTCAGTCTGCATTGTTATTTTAAAACATCTTTTGCTCTGAGTATCTTTTGTGCTTAAATGTAATATACATTTATATATACAAATAAGATCAGAAGAAACTTTTATTATATTTTCAGCCATCTGTCTACCTTTCAACACCTTCAAATACTTATAAAGCAAATACATCTGCTTTCCTAACTCCATTAGAAATAAAATCTAAAGTAGAAACAGATGATGGCAAAAAAAATTCCCTAGATGAACTACGCGCCCAGATTATTGAATTGCTGTGTAGTGTAGAAGCACTGAAAAAGGATCATGGGTAAGTAACCTTTGTTTTCTTCTGTGAGTACTACCTAGTACATATGCAAATAATTCTTTCAAAGTGTATCAAATAAAGATCTGTTCTGCCTGTTTCTGGTATAAGCAAGTATGTTTTCAAAGAAAATTTTCATTAAAGGTGCTTTTGATAAAAACTTGAATTGGAAAACTTGTTCCAGTATGTTAGTCCTGGAATAGATACATGTTAACCTCTAAGTTGGACTAGAAATCTTCTGGTCAGACATAGGAGTTAAATGGTCTTGAAAAACATGAGGAAAATCATATTGTATTTTAGGGTCAGTTATATATGTATAGTTGAATTTCTGAGAGGGTTAGGATAGGTGATCTCTAAAGCCTTTCTCTTAACTCTGAAAGTTTTTGATATAGTGTACAGTTGGACAYCCCTAATTGAATATGAGAGACCTTGTAGAGCTTAAGTACATGTAAAAGATCACTTACTGTAGCCCTCTCCATTTTTTAAAATGAAGAAATAAAAGTTCAGAGAAGTCAAGCTMTTTACTTATTATACAGCTTTTTAAAAGACAGAACTAAAACAACCCTCAAGTCCTCTATTATTTTAGAGATCTTTTCTATTAAAACTAGTATTTGAATTCTAAAACTTGGTATTTTAAACATAATACTGCAAAATATCAAGGTAAAACAAATAAATGAGTCACTAATCTATTTGAACTTAGAACGATGGTGCTCATCCCCTTACATCAACATCCTTTCTAAAAGAATTTGTATTTTTAGAATATAAAATTCACAGCCAGAGGCCATGTTACCCAGGACCTAATTTTAAACCATTTCTTGTTCAATTCTCAGGTGGCCTAGTATTCTTTATAAAGAAAATGTAGTGAGATTAATAACATGAGGTATTTGTAGTTCATAGAACATTTATTACCTCTTAGAAACAAAAATGTATCTTGAATAACTACTTAAAATATGTGTGCATGTATATATTTATATATATTATATATTTTATGTACATAATATATAGTTTGTCATTTGATGATACATTAACCCAAATTGGCTTTTGCATTACTATTATATCTTTATAGCTTACATAAGTAATATTTATGCATCCAATATTAAAATCTAAAATGCATGCAACAAGTAACTRAAAAATACAGCTTGACATATAAAGATTGAAATATGTCAGTCATCTAAGTATTCATTAGAGAAGTTGCAGAATAATACTTACCGTTTGATCCTGGACTTGTAAAAAGAAAACAGTGGTATATGAAAACTATACATTTGTCAATATATTTTTAAAAGAAGAATAAAAATGTGAGAAGTACTAAATTATTAGATCAGAAAGCAAATAATGTTAACACTATATAGGTAAATAGAATGGGATAAATAATGCAGAATTAGTCTTAAATATAGATTTAATGTACAGTGAAATCAGAATATTGAATAATCACAATAGAAAATATATAAACTAGGATAATATTGTAGAAATATGAATTTAGCTTAGGTGTATACCTSTTATCACTATAAAATAAGCTCTAGATTAATTTGAGTTGAATATTATTATTTCAAAAATTATGGTCAAGTAGAAAATAGAAAATTTGCCTCTTAGAGGCATGGTTTTCTAATTATTAAAGGCCTAGAAGAAATTAGTTTTAAAATGTTAATTTAAATAATATAAATAATTTTAAAAGTTCCCTTGTTTTAGTTAATAAATTTTTAAACAGTTTCTCAAACTGTTTTTCTATACTCTTCTTTTTGGTGGGGGCTGTGCTGGGAATTAAACCCAGGCCCTTGCACATATTAGGCAAGTGCTCTAACACTGAGCTATATTTCTAATTCTTTTTTATATTTTTTAATTTTTCATTTTTGAGAAAGGATCTCATTAAGTTGCCCAGGATGGCCTTGAACATGGAATCATTTTGCCTAAACCTCTTGGGTAGCTGGGATTAGAGGCATGCACCATCATACTGGACTATTTTTTGACAGTACTCATGAAGGGAATTTTTCTAATGTATGTTAAAAGGCAGAAAATATGCACAAACAAACAACAACAACAACAAAACCCAGCTTTTAGCCCTCTCTCCCAACCGTGAATGAGAAGTAAGCGTGAAGCTCACTGAAAGCTGTCRGTATCAGCCACCTCAGGACCTCAGGCAGCATGGCCTCATCCAGCTTCACCAAGTGGCACTCCAGGTTCCTGTAGTTTGTGGAAGCCCTCCAACAACACAGCTGGCTGATTCCCCCCATTTATACAGACAAGGATTGGATTGAGGCTATCCATGACCTATGGCTTCAAGGAACTTTCATGGATTTCAACGCCAAGGAAATTTGCATCTTTAGCACCCTGGCCTTTATGGCTATAATTCTCTTGTCCCCCCAACCTGACCATTCCTCCCTTCCTTCARATTCGTTGTCCCTCTCCAACAGGAAGTAGCCAGAAGATTTCAACGCCCTGAGTCCAAACAAAAAGAAGAAGGGAGGAATGTTGGGTTTTCAAGAGACCTTGGCATTAGGTTTTATTTGCCCCATTGGGTCTCTCCCCACTGAAGTTTCTATCTCTACAGAAGAATATTACACAATCCCTTACCCCTCCACCTCTTGTCTCAAGGGCGCCAAAGTCAAAATTTTTCTCCAAAAATTCCCTCAAGACACATTTTCTAATCACCCCTTTCTAACAAAAACCCTGCCAGTCACCACCATTCCTGAGTCACCCTGCAAATCAGCAACTGCCACATGGCCTAATCAACACTTCTAAAGCCAAAACTGGCTCAGGGGGCTGCTCTCTTCCTCTCCTTTTCTTCTCTTTCGTGCAGGCCCCAATAAAATCTCTTAGTTCAATTAAAAAAAATCAAAAACAGATATTTGAATACTAAATAGCATAAATATGAAAGTTTAAGCAGAGTGAAAATGTTTTCAAATAATTTCTGAAAAGACACAATATGGAATATATACTTATAGAATCTTTATTGAAAAAATAGTTGAATATGGAAAAATAAAAATACGAGTTAAGAAAGATTGGTTATAATAATTTTGCTGTTTGGTTTGAATTTTAATATAATATTTAATTTTAAAAAGGGAAAGTATCGGTGAAATTATCAGATAAATTGTAATTTGCCTTTATTGTGACTTGTTGATATTATTTTGTAAATTGTTTTGGCTCTGAAGTATCTAGCCAAAATAAAATATATACTAGATGAATGTGGAAAATTGCTTTTAAAAGCCATGTATTATTTCCTTTTTTGTTTTTTTCATAAGCTGTTCTGAATTTACTTAATTTATCTTAGATAAGTTTGCCGGGGTTTTGCTGCATTTTTTTTTTTACTATTAACATCGAATTGTTGAAACTAGAACATCTGAAAATTTTATCAGTCAACATAGCTAGTTTCCCTCATATACCTGGGAGGTTAGGCAGAAGAGATTCTGTTAATTTGTCTATTTGCCTCGTCTATATTGTTTAATTGGAAGTAATAAATATTTTGTTTTTTAGGAAAGAACTGGAAAAACTGAGAAAAGATTTGGAAGAAGAGAAGGCCTTGAGAAGTAATCTAGAGGTAATTTGTTTCTCCCAGCATTGAGATTTTAGACAGTATAAACTATACTTTTTTTTTTTTTTTAATCCCAACTATGTGATTGGTTTTACAAATTACGCCATTCTGTTCCACTTGGACATTCCCTACTGCATGGTAGCAATTTTGTAAATATCTTGTTGATACTCTGTCATATTTCATTCATTCAAACGGAAAAACATCTTTGAACATTAAACTCTCTTAGGCAGTGTGTGAACCTGAAGGTATATATTTGTGAATAAAATAAATATTGTTCTTTCCTCTTACGTCACCAGTTTATTTTTTCCCTGTGGCAGGACTGGTGGTGTTATTGCTTTCCAGTTCTCACTAGAAGTTTACCTTTATTMTTTGCTGATAGCTGGCAATTTTATTTAATTCCTTTTTCTTCCTTAACTTTCTTTCTCTGCTCATGCATTTTTGTCTTCATTTGTATTCTTCTTCCTACATATGTAAGAGAAAATTGTATCTTGCTTCCCCCCCCCCCGAGGCTCTTCTTATTCTCTATTGAAGTATTTCATATTCTCTCTACATTTTACCTTACCTCATTACTTAGCCTGTTTCTTTTGTCAGCATCATAGGTCAAGATAGAACATGGGACTGTGGTTATAGAACTTGAGCTCCTATTCTGAATTATAGTCTTGACTACCCTAAATTATATCATTTAGGCTTAGCTCTTTCTGTTCATTATCTCATTCGATACATATAAAGACTTGTAAGGATTATTGTTTTTATTTAGAAGGGTGAGAAAACTGGAGATTAGAACGGTGAAGTAAGAGCAGTGGAACTGAAAATTTTTAGCAGAAGTAACCAGACTTTAAAATGTCTACTCTTAGAAATTATCATACTGGGTAAATTTGGGTGAGTCACTTAACTTTCTTTAACTTTAGTTGTTGAAATAATATATTTAAAGATACAACTTACAAAGTATTATGAAAACTTCATTTTTACTCTTATATCTGACAAATTCTTTTTTTTTTTTTTTTGATGCTTTTGTTTCTTTGTATGAAAATATTCAATTTCCCCCCTTCAAACCAAAGCCTTCTTCCGGGTCTTACTGCCCTTTTGATCTACTGTACATGTTTTCTCTTTTTATTTGAGGTTCATTTCCTACAAAACAAAAATAACTATCATTCTACCCTCTCACAAAAAGCCTATATTTGCAGTGTCTGAGTCTTTACCTTCATTTCATTCTTTAACCCCTTGCATTTTATTAGGTTTACTGATGCCACACCCAATTTCTCTTTTTCAATTTCTGCACATTTCAAATTTTTACTGTTTTCTCTTTGTCAGAGGTTTGTTGTAGAAAGGTGATACTTGTTCCTTGTCTAACTTCTCTTTCCTTTTTGTTTCTTGAACCTTAAATGTAAATATTCCTTAACTACTATCCTTTGCTCTTTTTTTCTATGCATTCACTGTTTGAATTCATTTGCAACAGTGAATCTAGTGATTAGCTTTAATGCATCTCCCTCTAAATCTAATTCTTGTATTCCCAGTTTCTTTTAGTCTCCCTGGATGTTACATGGTGAACTTACCATATCTCCAGGGAAATATTTTATTTTCTTCTTTTGTTTTTTTGACTTCCTGTTTCTGTTACCCTTCTGGTCACACATACATGRTACTTACCCTCTCTTCTAATTCTATTACTTTCAGTTCTATTTGCTTTACCTTCTAACTTTTATGTCAACACTTTCTTGTTCTGATGTGCTTTATTTTCTATTGAGTTTGCTCAAGTTTCTCTAATTTTATTGCAGATTAATCTTTCATTGCTCAGGTACTTCCAAAAGTTTTCTGTTACTTGTTGAATGAAGTTCAAAATTCTCAACTTGGTGTATGAGGTCTTCTATTATTCTAGTCCTAGTTTATCTTTCTTTCTTAATTTCTGATCCTCCATTGTGCCTTAATAAGTTGATACATCTGAATTTTCACTCTTCCTAAATTGTCTTCTTGCCTTATCTTCTAATGCTCATTCTATAGATTCTTAAAGACCTGCTCAAAGAATCATATTTATTAAGTTGGTAGTAGTCTTCCTTTGACTAGAAGTTTTAATTTTCATCCAAATTTACATTTCCTCTAGTTTTTAAAGACATGTATAAATCATAATTTTCAATCCTATTACTGTACTATTTGTTTTGTTCCGTTCCTTATTATAAGACTGTTTAGAGTGAGATCCATGTCTGTTTCATCTTTGTCCATCACTCCTAACAGTGCTACACACTTACTAGATACCTAATAAATTATTGTTGTATTAATGAATGTTAGAGGAAACATGTTTAAAATACACCTTAAATTCACAGCATGTAAATTGGTAGAAATTGAGAAATTTAAAAAAAAAGTTTCTTGACTTTGTTTTATACATACATGCTAATATTCATATATGAAAATAAGATAAGCAAGAGGAATGTTTGTGTCATAAAAATTATGAAAGGAATCAAATGAATTCTTTTTTGAAGAATTTAATTTTTCCAACGTGGTCAGATGTTACCCTCCTATTGAACTGTATTTTTTCCCCCTAATGGGCAAAGTTTGACCTCTGTATTTGTAAAAGCACATTTAAGTCATTAAAGTTTTAGGATCATATAGTTAAAGAAATGTTTGCAGAAAGATTAGATGTAGTATTTTGAAATACTATAATGTTAGTACTATATAATACTAAATTATACTTGGGGGTGATAAAAAAGGAACAATGAGGAGGGTAGATAGCAATATAAGATTTTGCTTGATAACTAAAATTTATGTCAGAAATCACTGTTTGTATGGAGTAGTACTGACTTTGAGTGAAGGATTATTCCTCCCACTTTTTATTCCCTCTTTTGCCAACTTATTTCTTACTGCTTTCTGTGCATTCTTGCCTATTTTCACTTATCTTTGGAAACAAGACAGTAATAGTACATAAAGAGGATGATTTAAAAATATTTTATCTCAATTGAGACTGTAAATTGAGACTTGTTCTCATTCAATACTGCCAAAACATTTAGTGCATAATTATATTATTAAAAGAAAATTTAAGAATGATATCAGGAGAGATCCTGAAGTTAATAAACCATATTTGGATGGTTGGCATTACTTAGGAGATTGTGACCACATCAAAATTATACTTTACGACTAAGTCAGAGGTTAACTGATGCACGCATTGCTTATGTGCATTGTTAAAAAAGAGGCAATATTATCAGGAAAAAGCAAGGAARTGAAAGGTAAAGAAAACATTGGTGAATTGGGAAGAAAGTCAGTACAAAAACTGGACAATATAGACATAGACTTTACTAATACAAATCCTATGCCACCAGTTACTGATGTAGAAATATTGACTTACTATTTAATGTCTTTTAGCCTCAATTTAGTCATTTGTAGTATGTGAAAATAAAGTATCTCTTTGTAGCCAGTATGATCATTTTTTTTCCTTTCTCTTAAGTGAAGGGGCCCTTCTCCTAAAGGTGGAAATATTTCTAACACATTGTCTGAATCTTGGATATATTTCTGGGCTTTAGAGACAATTTAGTACCTTCTGTTTATAGGTGGGGAATTTGAAAGGAAGTAATGTTAAGCAATTTACCAGTAATACACAGATAGTGAAAATCATGGAATATAAACTGGTCCTTTATTTTTTATACTATTCTACACTGCCCCCTTTGTTTAAATGTACATTTTTAAATTTGATTTCCAGAGTTCTTTTGTTCTTTATAGAATAATTTTTTAAAAATTCTTTAAAATTTCACATTACTTAATATTGTTCTGGCTGTAAGAATTACAGTTGATATTTTTCTTGTTGTTCAGTGCTTCTTTGAAACTTGTACTGTGACATTTTTCTTCTGTTGAGCATTTACTCAATATTTATTACACCATGGGAAACTGGATTTTAGATCTGGAAATTAAAATCTACTGGCTTAAAAAGTATGATCAAATGTTAATGACATATGTCAAAATAATTTGCACTAATGTGTATTTTATCTGTTTCCCAATTTATATTTATTTTAGATGGAAATAGAGAAACTGAAAAAAGCTGTCCTGTCTTCTTGAAGTGTTCCAGGGATTCAGATACAACAATATGAACTTCCATTGACTTGTTACTTAAAAATAACAAACGCTGATGTTGTGATAATGAAATATGAGTATATGARCTATATTATCTATTAAAAGTTAGGGGGTGGGTGTTTTTTTTTAATATATATATATATATATATATTTAGTTTTGCCAATATGAAAAAAAAGAGGCCTTATTTCTTACTGTGCTGGGATTGCAAACATTATTTTTGTTTGTTTGCTTGAAAATACTACTGAATCTGTATAAAAAGGAAAGAAAGTTCATAATTTTTTATTGAAACTTGTAGTATTATTTTTAAAGAGATCTATACTATAAATATGGTGATATCTTTACAAGTAATCTGTAAGATAAACTATTTGAGAGCRACAAATTAGCTTTATAGTAACTGTAGTCACTACTTTTCCCATGATACATTAAGGGAWATAAACTTTGTAAATATATACATATTTTTACTTTTAGCTTCTTACCCAAGATTACACTGTTTTGCCTGTTTGTCTGCAGTGCTGTTTTTAATTTGGGTGATGAAATAGGAGTTTCCTAGCTATAAATCAGATTACTCACCCATGCATACAGTAATAACTAATGAAATAATAAAAACAGTTTCAACTTTGAGTGTTTTATATTGCTTGCACTATAGGATTCATAAAAGGAATTTAGTTAAAATGTAATGGATTGTTAAACATGAGCTTTATTATAAGTTCATTAATTCTAAGGAATCTAAAAACATCAATTTAATCCTTTACTTGTGCCTAGAAACTACAGCACATATGAAATAGTAAACACCAGCCTTATTGCTGTACTTTCCTGCTTGTTTTGCAGTCTCAAATATTTCATTATCTTTAGTTCTTCATACTCTTCCCTCTGACTTTTAATAATGTAATATTAGGAAAACAAAATCCAAATCTTTTCAGAACCTCATGTAAGGCTTCATACTGGGACAAGTTGTCATTATGTAAATACTCAGGTTTTACAGTGTATAATTTCCATAATAGGCCAAACTAACTCCTGGAGATATTTTGGAATGTTATTTAGGTTAAAAGTTTAGAAAGGGTGTTAGTATATCATAAAATATAACATTACAGCTTATTTAAACCAAATATAGTTGATCATATTGAAAACCACATTTTCACAGAGTGGGTGAATCAGCAATTTCTTCAGAGTCATTTATGAACAGTTGAACATTTCAGAATGTTATATTCTATACGTAATATGTCTAAAAACTTATAGGTTTATTTAAAATTTTGAAATTTTTCATTTGAAAAATAAAAAGGCTTCCAGCTGTACTATAGGAAATGATTTTGAGTACCAAGTTATCATGCTTCCTTTTTTTTTTTTGTTTTTGTTTTAAACCACCCAATGTTTTTTCTTTACATTTTTTAAATCTCAAAAGTATGGAAATCTTGTGTAAATGAAATTCTTACTGTTTAAAAAAGATATAAAAAGAACTGAAGTAGAAAATAATAGAAATGCCAGTACACAATTACTTAATATTTAAGTCACAATGTTTGGGCTTTGGGGGAAAGCTAATTTTGCTTTTTGAGTGTGTACATTTTAACTATTTAATGTCTTTGGGCTCTTCTAATGAGATCACTACTGAACAAAATTGTTCCTTTTTGTTTTTAAATGATTAGTCAAATGAATGATTGCCTTGTTAAATAAATTATATTATCAATTAATGACAGTCCTTWGGTAAAAATAAAAATACTGCATCCTAGATACCATATCTTCCAGCTTTCTCATTGGAAGATGTACTAAGTTATCCCTACCTACCATAACAATGGGGTGAGAGAAGGTTCCAGCAGATTTCAGGTTATTCATGAAGGTTTTTGGTCATTTTTCTGTAGTATATTTGACTTTCCTACTTCTCAGAATATAAAACTCATTGAAGTTCTCTCTGCTTTTCTACCCTTGACAAAATGTAAGGAAAACCAAGCAAGCTTGAAATTAAGGGGAAAATGATTCCTTTATCATAGTTTACCAGTATTTGCTCTTGATATGAAGACTTTCCTAAATTTCATGTCACAAAATGGTATGTAATAGTAATAGCTTTTATTGGAGGTGAAACATTAGTTCCCACACTCCACTCCCTATTTGTGAGTATAAATGACAGAAAAGATGAGTCTGTTRTTGCCAAATTATTAGTGAATATATAGTTCAGGTTTGCTATGCTTTGAAACACATAATACTAATTTTCTAATTGTATTCAATGTTACTTTTTTGTGTTGTGACCACTAAGCTTCTGTCTTATAAAGCTGTTACCTCTACAGAATTTTATAGAACTTTACTGAAGAGTCTAAAAATGCAGAGAGAGAATGGGTCTTGTGGAACAGAGGATCCTTTTTTTTTTTTCTTTTTAAAATTAGCTCCTTACTGTGATTACAGGGGGAAAAAAAATTCAAGTGCTCTGTAAGTTTTTTGGTAAATTTTTTATGCTTGCATTTAAACTTGAAATGTATGAGCAGAATGAGACAATCAGTTAAAATCCAAAACGAGAAGTGTTATAATTGAATGGCCTTGTTTTGCTGTAGCAATAAAATGACCAAGTGCAATGACTTAATAAAATCATCTTTTTAAAAGTTGCTGCTATGAATATTTTTAGCTATAAAATTTTATCCTTGTTTTAGCCTGACTTGCCTTTAATAACTATTATATAATGTGGTTGCTGTTGTAATCTAACATTCCAACACACACACACACACACACACACACACACACACACACACACAAACATACACGAGGAATTTCAGAATAGTATATTTACTGACTTGTTTACAAGTGTTGTAAAAAAAAAGGATGCTTTTTCCTCAAAATAAAACTCAATAATAAAAGAATCGTATCGCTATTTTTGTCAGTTTTTGTTATTATTAACTTTAGCATATGTTTATTTTAGAGTGATGAATATTTATAATTTGAATTTTCCAAATAAAAGAAACAAATAGAAAATGAAAGTATTAAAGCTTCTAGGCCTGTGTGACTTTTCTTGTATCTTTCGAAATATGTCATTTCATCTGAAACTGTAAGACATTTCCTACCTTCCAGGATTATGGGGATAATTTGAAGTGATTTATATAAAGTGCTTTGTGAAGTGCTTGGGATACAGTTGGTTCAGAAAAAAATGAAGTTTCAAAAAAGCATTTTACAGTGTTGGATGTGATATAATGAGATGGATAAGATTAAGAGAGAGGAGGTATATTATTTTCACTCCCTTTGATTTTGAGTACAGTATCACATTATATGGGGAGATACTACATTCATCTATCTGTATTATATTTTTTGAATGGTAGCTGCTATCATCTTAGTTTCTACCTTCCAATAATTGCTCTCAGTAGGTAGAGTACTTAGCTCAAATTGAGTTTTAAAGTTAATCAGAGAGCAAGATTTTGGAATTTGGAAACAAAAAGCTAGTGTCAGCCTGAAAACTCTCCTTACTTATATTTTTTCTGTTATGGAAAAGCTAATTGGAAAGAACAAAATTTAGTAAAGCATTGAGATGGAAACAGAATCGTAAAAGGATTTTGAAACTRATTATAGTCATTCTGGAACCTCAGTTACCTGTTGCTTGGTCCCTGAAGCACAAATTTGCTCATAAGCTTGTTGGGTTTCTGGCTCACAACTGAAAAAGTCCTGACAGATATAGAAAAGATGGAATCAATAAAAAAGAAAAGAAAAGAAAAGATTGAATCAAGATAGATAGCAAGGCACCAAGGATCTCACTTAGTGGTAGAAAGCACTTGCCTATCATTGTAAAGCTCTGGGTTCATTCACCAGTACAAAAACAAATCAAAAAACCTAAACATGCCCCATGTATTCATGCTGGAAATATGCCACATACAAAGCTCAGACTTTCTAAAAATTACTATGAAGTAACTATGAAGCAATATGGATATAAGTATGTCAAATCATTTAAGTAAAAAAAAAAAATCTAAAAATTTTGAGTTGCTTTTTATTGGCCTGCATAAACATTAGACAAAAATTAAGCCTTGCAGGCACATGGTGATAACTTGACTATAGAATTTTAGTGTTTGAGGAGATATTAGAAATTGTCCAATTCAAACCTTATGATGTTTTATGTGAGGATAAAGTCTTCAAATTTAGTTCTATTCTAAGAAGTAAAAGCAGATGACAGTTTAACTCAGATTTATTAGGTTCTATTACTTTCAAGATTCTATCACTAAGATTCAAGAGAGACTGAGTCTGGGAATTACAATRTTTTCTGAACCTCCATATTAATGCATCATGAAATTGTGAGAAAAACTATATTGAACAGAATAGGACAAAGCAAGGCATTTCCTTATTATGGGTGTGTGATGATAACAGTTGAGCACCAATTGCATGCTGAGATAGCAATTCTACCCACCATTGCATTTACACCATCAGTATAGATTTCAACACACACACACACACACACACACACACACACACACACACAAAACCAGCTGACATTGTGGGCTGGCCTAAGATAACCTAGCATATAGTTCACAATCAGTAATTTGGGGGTTAGGGGGTTGGGGATTGAATCCAAGGATGCTTAACCACTGAGCCACATCCTCAGCCCTTTTAATTTGTTTAGATGCAGGGTCTCACTAGGTTGCTTATAATCTCCTTAAGTTGCTGAGGCTGGCTTCAAACTTTTAATCCTCCTGCCTCAGCCTCTCAAGCTTCTAGGATTACAGGTGTGCACCACTGTGCCTGACTCTCCATAAATGTTTTGTAGATGAATTAATAAAAGAACAAAGCAAGGTTGTGTTTTTGACCCCCTTCTGCCTTTTCATCTCTCCTCTTCAAATATTTAAGTATCCTAGTTGAAATCTACTGCTATCATACCAATTGTTATTAAGTAGCTATTCCAGGAACTCTGTTAGGCTCTTCAAATATGTTAAATATTTTATACTGGATTTTAAGTGGTCTGTTTAATTACACCAAGGCTTATCTTTAGAAATAGAGGGGCTGGTGGAGTATTACGCAGTACTAAAAAATGACAAAATCATGGAATTTGCAGGGAAATGGATGGCACTAGAGCAGATTATGCTTAATGAAGCTAGCCAATCCCTAAAAAACAAATACCAAATGTCTTCTTTGATATAATGAGAGC